GTACACCCCTCCCCTCTCTCTGAATTCTCCACCTCCTGTTTCCACCTGCCGTTGCCATGGTGACACAGCTTTAGAGGAGTATTAGATGATTTGATGAGTGTTGCCTCTAAAGCTTCTGGATGATGCCGTTTGTGTTAATATTGTGATCAGCTGTTTGATTCAGATGTAAAGTTTTTGATTTTTGTTTTGAAAATTCTGAAAAAGAGCGTTTCCACGGCGACGGAGACGCTGTAATTGAAGTCTGATTCAGGTAAATGCTTTCACCTCAGCCTCTGATTACCTAGGATTGATTCAGAGTGTCTGATTCTCTAATAAATCTCAAACTGGTTCATCATGTTCTCCCTCTCTCTGCTCCCTCTCTGAGTCTAACACTTAAAGCAGATAGCTCTGATGATCTTCAGACACAAACACAGTTAGTTTTTGTGTAGTGTGTGAATGTGGAGCGAAGCTCTCTGCACCTTTACCTGTTGAAAATCTGCTACACATCAGGTACACCTGTACACCTGTTTAGTGATGAAGGATGCTTTGATGCGTCCTTTTAAACTCTCAGCTTGTTTTCTTCAGTCTCCCTCTGTTTGTATTAATGTGTTACTGTGTCACAAATGCTCATCTCCCTCTGACAGAACAGGTATCTGCATTATCTGAAACTCGCAGCATTAACCACAAGGAATGCATGCTGGGTACATTAACTCTCAGCGAGTCTCTGAACGTGAGTGCCATTCACCGTCTCTCCTATGTTCTCATTCCTGAGTTCAGTGTGTGTGTTTTTGTGTGTTTGTAGGTGTGTGTGCGTGTGTGTGTGTGTGTGTCTGTGTGTCTGTGTGTGCAGTGATGATGTTGTCTCTGTGTAGCTGTGCTCACTCTGAATTAGTCACTGTCTCATCAAACGTCCTCTCTGCTGTTTGCACGATTACTCACTAACCTGAGTCACACACTCACAGGGCTCAGTGTGTGTGTGTGTGTGTGTGTCTGTGTGTGTGTGTGTGTGTGTGTGTGTGTGTGTGTGTGTGTGTGTGTGTCAGCCTGCACTTCCTCACATTTACATGAAACAAAGAGCAAGCAATGTTCTCCATTCATCTCTGCTCACACACACACGCACACACACACACACACACACACACACACACACACACACACACACACACACACACACACACACACACACGCGCACGCGCGCGCACACACACACACACACTCTTGTCACATCCATTTGGGCCATGAGTAACCCTGTGGGTACACCTCTCTTACCTAAGGGCGTCTGCTGCTTCCTGTTAATGGGGACGACCCTCGACCCTCAAGGTCCACCATGCACGCACACACACTGACATACAAACACACACACATGAACACACACATACACACACATGCCCCATTAGTCACACTTTGCCGGAGGAATAACCCCCTCCACTAACTGAGTCACAGCCACAGTTAAACCTCACACACACACACACACACACATGAAAACATCCGTCTTCATAGTTTGACCTCCTCACTGACATTTGTGTCAGAGTTGAGCTTAGACTCTGCCCACAGGTGAGCTGCTTCCTTTTCATAGCACTTTTACTAATAATGACCACACCTAGAAAGATATAGATTAAAAATAGTTCATTGTTATTGAAATGATGAGCGAGGTTGGATGATAGGAAGATTGAGGGTGGAGGGATGGAGGTTAGAGATGTGTCATGAGGGTAAGGGGTTATGGATGTGTCATGAGGGTAAGGGGTTAGGGATGTGGGCTGAGGGTAAGGGGTTAGAGATGTGTCATGAGGGTAAGGGGTTAGAGATGTGTCATGAGGGTAAGGGGTTAGGGATGTGTCATGAGGGTAAGGGGTTAGAGATGTGTCATGAGGGTAAGGGGTTAGAGATGTGTCATGAGGGTAAGGGGTTAGGGATGTGTCATGAGGGTGGGGGGTTAGGGATGTGTGATGAGGGTGGGGGGTAAGGGATTAGGGATGTGGGATGAGGGTAAGGGGTTAGAAATGTGGGATGAGGGTAAGGGGTTAGGAGGTTAATGGAAGTAGGACTTGTGTCAGCTGAGGTAGGTAAGGTGTGAGGAAAGAGGGGCCGAGACTCTGGGTGGGGGAGCTGTCTCTTCAATGCTGTCTTCATGGACTCCCAAGACAAACTCCGGGCCGAAAGAGGCCAGAGGGCTTTTCTGATATCATTAAGAACGTTATGAATGGAAATTGACGTATGTTTTGGAAAAATCAGATTTAAAAGTTTCGAGTAAAAAAAAGTTTCAAGTATCATTCTGATTGTTTTTGATGTGTTTTGAATGAGTATTTGGGAAAGCAGGATTACGAGGATACCTGATGTTTGCTGTTGTACACTTCATTATGAAATAGAGAAACAGCACAAGTTCTGAGGCGAAGGTCGACTATGTCCAATGTTGCTTGGACTGCTTAGTCGTAACTTCGATCAATCAACCAATCAATTTTTATTTGTATAGCGTCAACTCATAACAAGTGTTATTTCAAGACACTGCACAAAAAGCAGGTAAAAGACCTTACTCTTTGTTATGTTACAAAAAGCAGGTAAAAGACCTTACTCTTTGTTATGTTACAAAAAGCAGGTAAAAGACCGGTAAATGAAACAGCCTTCACAGGTTGTTTTTTTGAAAGACCGGAGGTCATGACCATGATCTCAGTGATCGTTTGGACCTAACTGATTGGGACGGGATTGAGATGATGATTCAGGTAAATTACCAGTGCCATCGTAGTGGCTCCTGAAAATGGTGGAGGGAGATCTTCTGGAGTGATCTCCTCTGGTTAAGGGTTTTGTCAGCGTGGGAGAGGAGATGCTTCGTTGCGAGAAAGGGAACATATGGCATGGTTTCAATCCTGCAGACTCTGTCCAAAGATAGGTGAGATAAGTGAATAAGTTCATTGTTTCTGCATTTAAATAAAAAAAATGGCAGTTGTTGCAGTTGGGACAGAAAAGTAACTCCTGGTAATTTCCGGGAAGGAGAAAATGGATGAACAGTTGTTGCCTGGTGAATGGATGGATGAATGGAGTCGAGGGAAGATTGTACTGAGCATGCTTAAGAAAACGAATAACGGGAAGAAGTGAGTGAGAATGATAGTATAGTATAAGAAATGAAGGTCATGGCTGTTGGTGCGGATACAGAAGAAGGTGAACTTTGAATGGAAGGTGAAAGGTCATGGAATCCAGGACATAGTAACTCAAAGATGTGTTAAAGCAGATTGAGTTATGTCATGGTTCAGTTACAATTGAGGGTTAAATCACGGAGCAGAGTGAGGATTATGGAGCGTAGTGCGAGGTTTAAGGGTGGAATAAATTATAAATGATCGATTCTTTAAGAGTTTGATAGAACTTAATGTAAAATTATATTTGTTATTTTGAGTTTGATAATGCAACTTACAGAACAACGCTATGGCAAAGCAGGCGGTAAACTCCATGTCGAAAGTAAAAAACAAATCTACGGTCGTCTTTTGAGCCTGAACTGCAAGTGTAAACAGGAAATGTGAAGCAGTGATTTGAAGCACAGCAGCACCCCCATGTGTCCGTCCAGGGAACAGCAGGAGATAAACAGAAATAATAAATCAGTGCAGGTCATTTAATCTGAGAGACGGTCAGCTGATGACTGAGAAACAACCTCACAGAGACGTCAACCTGTGTTCGTACCACACTCAGCAGGCAAGGCAGGTAAGTCAGGTGAGTCTGTAGTGGTCGAGGGAGCTGAGAGCTCTGCTGTGATTGGAGGCGTCACCTGAACATTGTTCTTGTTCACGCTGCTCCAGAGTCGGGGGGCGTTCAGGTCTTTATTCCTGAAGGTTCTCCCTGAGTGTGACAGAATAAGAGCTGTTTGAATCCTTTCAATTAGGAAACCTCATGCTTCCTTAATTATCTCCTTAAGGAAACACTGGAGCATCCTTGACCCATAATTCATAACAACAACTTCACGTCTCGTCCGTCCATGAAAATAAGCAATCAACATGACTGTCCAAATCTTTACTGACACGTGGATGAAGAAAAGAAGAGACGCCGGTGTTACCTTTAGTCGTTTTTAATCTGAACCTCCACTCGATCGGTCGATGAATCAAACTGTGTCAGTGTTTCAGTTTCCTCCCTGCTGATCTGATTTCTGTTTGATGACGTTAACGATGATTTATAGATCAAACACAGTTGATCATAATATAAATAAATAAAAAGTTAAGGTGAGACGATGGATGACGTGTACTCTCGACTTAAGACTAAAAACATTAAATATAACGTTAATACATTAGGTTTAAAATCACATCAAGCTGTCACAGGTGATCTTACAGGTGATCTTACAGGTGATGGCGGCTGTCTGACCGAAACACATGATGTTTGGCGACCCAGTGTTTTCACTGTCAGGTATTGGCCGGTCACCATGGCGACCGTAGTACAAGGTGTGTTTTTATTGCGCTCCTGAGCGTTGGTGTTGGGAGATCTGTAACGGTCTCCTTTGGGGCAGCTGTTGATATGTAGTTATATCTGTTGTTTTAGACGCAGATTGTTTGTTGGTAAGTTTGGTTGAATGTAAAAATTTATTGTTTGGATTTCACAGGCGGTAGTGGCTCAATTGGTAGAGTCGTCGCTTCTCAACCGGAAGGTCGAGGGTTTGATCCCTAGCTGGCTAAATGTCCGATGTGTTCTTGGGCAAGACACGTAACCCCAAATTGCTCCCGCTGCTTCGGTGGTGGTGTATGAATGGCATTAGTTAGTTCTGATGGATGATACTACATAGTGATCATCACTACCATCAGTGTGTGAATGGGTGGGTGTGCCATGTGGTGTGAAAGTGCTTTGAGTAGTTAGAAGACTAGAAAAGCACTATATAAGCTCAAATCCATTTTACCAATTATCACTTCACATTTTCTCTCTTTCTCTCTTACATCACACTCGAACGTCTCCAAGGTTTGATTGGAGGCGAGGCGAGATGACCTGGACCACATAAACAGTTACAGGAATCTTACCAATACCTGAAAATCACTGAAAATAGAAAGGCCACACTATTAGTTTTCTCAGACTTTTATTTTAGTTGCCATGGTAACAACCAGTTATGGTTAATCGTTATTTGGACTAGAATCATATCACAGTTTATCTGTTATCGTGACATTTTAAAACAAACCTGTTCATGTTGTGTAGAAAAAGCAAATCAAACACCTTAATAAGCTAACAGAACGTTAAAGAGGGTGTTACAGAGTTATATAAACCTAACCCCCCCCTCCCCTCCAAAAGACTGAGACTGGAACCCACAACACAGTCTACAGCTTCAACAAAACAATAGATAACCAGTCAGAGAGTCACAACAAACACGAAGGGTCAATCAGCATTTCAGCAACATCACATTAAAATAACTTGAAGTTGTTCTGACAAAAATCTTTATAACAAAAAGAATCATCAGACAAATCAGACAATCCTAACATTAAACATTTGTACTAACCCTGTTCTCTGTGTTACAGGTGTGTGTGTGTGTGTGTGTGTGTGTGTGTGTGTGTGTGTGTGTGTGTGTGTGTTTTATTTCTATTTTCTTTAAAACAAAGTTATGTTCTGCATGTCTTATACAAATGTACCAACACCGAAGTGTGAAGTGCCTCTTGTTTTCTGGGACAAGTTCCATATAACTAACGTTATTAAGTTTGTGGCTCCACCTAGAGGTGCTGACCTGTTACTACAGAGACTTTGGGCTAATTTGGCTCTTCACATTGCAGACTAGTTATTCCTTTGTTTCCCCAGTAATGAGGTGCTTTGATTTTTGGTTCCAAGTGGGACAAACCAGGGCTGTTCTGATGCGTGTGTGTTTTTATTGTTCAGCTGGAACGACCTCCAAGAGGATCTGGAGCGTTCTGTTGAAAGAGTCTGAGGACACAGAGAAGACATAGTTTAAACATGTCTGACTCGTATTAATGTGAATAAATCCTTGTTAGTTATTAACTCTCAACCATTATTAAAGCTGTAACAGCAGGAGAAACTTTTAAAAAGCAACATGTAACTCTGACCCCTATTGTTTAAAATGGGTACTGCCAAATTCTCAACATTGTAGAGAGCTGTCTCCCCCCGCCCCCCTCCTCTCTAGAGTGGATGCTCACACAGGTCACCATGTGGTGGACACTGAAGCTTCTGTGTTTATCCAGCTCTGCATGGGTCTGTAAACCTTTCTGTCTCCATTTTTCAAAAGCATCTCCAATATTGATCCTAGTTTGAGCACGTGTATTGTACTTACCTTTTTTACAGACTTTGACAATAACTAAAAATGACTTAAACACTAAATTCTCAGTCAGTCGATTTACTTAATCATTTACTAATTATATATTTCTAATGTGAGCTGCTGAATGGGAGCGTGATAATAAAGATTATATTTAATGTCTTACCCAAATATTTATGATAATTTATGAATATAACTAAATGGTGTCTTTGAATACTGACCTAGCGCCCGCTGCAGCCACGCCGGGCGCTCTTTGAAGTGAATGAAGATGTAGTAGGCGGGGATCCCAGTGAGAGAAATGGCGAATCCTATCCCGGTGTTGACGGGGTCGGAGTACAGAGACAGGAAGACCATGAAGAAACAGGTGAGGCAGAAAATCACGGGGATGAAGAGAGGGACCTGTGGACGAGTCAGAGTCAGCACAAGTCTTTACATTAAAATATATTTGATTTAAGACGAAACAAGTTAAGCTGTGTTCAGGTTTGGACAGACCTTAAAGGGGCGGGGTATATAAATTGAATGGGCGGGGCATTTACCTTAAAGGGACGGGGTAGGTCTGGTTTGGTGTATCGGAGATAGATTAGACCCAGAACCACCACCCCAATGAAGAGCCAGCGCAGGAAGCTCATGAAGTTCAGCAGGCTGTAGAGGTCACCGACAAACAGCTGGAGCATGGTCATAGGGTACTGTAAACACACACACACACAAACACACACAATAATAATAATAATCATAAATTGTATTTTTGTTTCATTGTTTGTGGTTGGGGTAAGGGTTCAGAGACAGATGTTAATGTATAAAGGTTTTTTTTTTATTGGCTTTAAGACTAATTACCTAAATGTATTAGAAAAAGACAAACTGAAGAAATTCAATCTCACATCGTGACCAACAAGGTGTTTAAAATCTGAGATCAGGAGTCATGTTACCAAATTAAAACAGTCTGAAGTCTAGAAACTCCAGGAGGTGGAGTTTATTTGTCTGTGAGGGTAGAGAGATAATACTCTCATAGTTCTACTATGTTGTTGTCGTCCCCCTACCACACAACACTGCCTCACTGCTGTCTCTCCTCCTTCATGCCTGTGGATGCCCACCAAGTGACCAACTGCCTGGACCCCATGCTTTCAACCCTGTTCAAAGCAAGTCTGCCTGTCCTGTGCCCCATAGTGATGGACATCATAAACTCCTCCCTGGCATCTGAAACAGTTCCTTTGTTTTTCAAAATGGCCTCAGTTAACCCGATCTTCAAAATCCAGGGTTGGACCCAGAGGACTTAGACAACTGACGTCCAATCTCCAACCTTCCTTTTCTCAGTAAAAAGCAGTCGCCACTAAACTACATCTAGACTTTGTCATACCATTAGCTCTATGAGCCCCTTAAATCTGGATTCAGAATACACCACAACACAGAGACCAACCTCGTCAAAATGACTAATGACCTCTTCACTGACGTAGATTCCAGTCACATCGGTTTACTCATTCTCCTCGACCTCTTTGCAGCCTTTGACAATCTCCCATGCCATCCCCCTCAACAGCTTATCTCATTATCTCAGCTATTACGGCATCACCGTAATAGCTCTCTTCTCTTTTCAATCCTACTTCTCAAACAGAAAACAGTCCGTCAGCGTCTGCAACTCCAGCCCCCCCCCACCACCCAGCACAGGCCAATCATGGTGTGCCTCAAGGCTCTGTACTTGGACCCATCCTCTTCATCATCTACATGCTCCCTCTCCGTCTAATCATCTGCCAACCTTCATCCGCCCATTCTCTGAGGTCTGCAACCTAGACATCATCCTGGACTCAAGCCTCTCATTCAACTCCCACATAACTAAATCCGCCTTCTTCCATCTAAATAATATCTCTTCACTCTGGCCATCGCTCTCCAACTCCACAGCAGAAGCCCTCGTGTACGCCTTCATAACCTCCCGTGCTGGACTGCTGTAATGGAGTCCAGGTTGGGGTAACCAGCAAAGCCCTAGACAAGCTCCATTATGTCCAAAACTCTGCTGCCAGAATCCTCACCTGCACTAAGTCTTCACCTGAAGTACATCACCCCAACCCCTCAATCACCTGCACTGGTTCCCAGTTCCAGATTGAAATACAACATACTCCTCCTCACTTATAAACCCCTCCACGGCCTCCAAATTTGTCCGTGATAATAAATCTCCACACTGGTGGATCATTTTACAGAGTTTATATGTTAAAGCTACAGTTTGTAATGTGTCAGTTAAAATGATTATATTATTAAATATTATTTATTCATCAGCTCTGAATCAAACGACCAATCAGCAACAGCTTGCTCATAACCAGCCAATCACATCACATCTGTGAGGAGGACGTTTGGGTTGCTGGGCAACAGTTTCAAACTAGCATCATCCAGTTTCTATATTTACATGATGCTAACTGTCATTTAAAAAAATAAAGGTAACCATAGCAACCATTCAGGTAACCATAGCAACCATATAGGCTACAATTTCTTTAACATCATTGTTGTTGCTGCCGTGAACTGACCAGTATGAGGACAGCAGCCAGCGGAGTGTGTCTGTGGACATGGACCATTGACAAAACCTCAGGGAGCTGTCCTTCACGAGACGCCACGTAGAACATCCTGTGAACACACACACACACACACACACACACACACACACACACACACACAGACAAACACACACTCACAGACAAACACACACACACACACAGACACACACACACAGACAAACACACACACTCACAGACAAACACACACACACACACACAAGCAGAAAAAGCAATTATCTACTGAATATGATTAGATAATATTTATATTAGATAGTATGACAGCGTCTGTAGCAATCAGTGAGAAATAAAGCATCTCTACCTGGACAAGGCGAAGAGGCAGCCGTTCATGGAGCCGTAGCACGACAAGGCCACGAACACGGGCACGAAGATGGAGAACTTCCCGAACAGCTTCTCTGCAAACGTCTGTGGCGAGAAAAAACGCAGAGCAACGTGAGCTTTGGAGGCCAGTCCAAAGGTTTTACACTCATGCACTAAACTCTGGGAAAGTTAGCGACATGTTCACAAAGGAGAGCCAAACCTGGATCTCTTAGTTTAAAGTCCATTAAAGGTTCACCTCCCTGGTTTGTGTGATCCCCCTCCCCCACCAGATGAGGACCTGAAAACACTTAGCCGGTTTAAGTGTTGAGCCTGGAGCGACACAGACACTAAACCAACGTGTTGACTGGTTCATAAAAATGCTCTCCCTTTATTCAATACTCTACAATGCATGTTAGCTCACACTGTACAACTGAATCGTTTACGACGCCCGACCAGACCTTTCGATTGACGTGCTCACACTGTACGATTGAAATCGGGACGGAGCGTTGACAATTGTTAATAAAGTTTAATTTGAAAAAATTAAAGGACGGCGGTCGGTGAAAGAGAAGGAAGTGGAACTTGTTGTAGGATATAGAAAAGTTGAAACAATTGTAGATATATGGATACAAGTTTCAGAAAAGTGCTACACTGATGATCTGTACAGAAAACAAACAAAAAAAAAGAAAACGCTGGGTTGTGTCCTGCCGCTGGTCGCCATGACTACAGTCCTCCCTTGTCTCTCTTGATTATAATGTAGTCACACACAACTTCTGCTGGACCCTTTCATGACTTAAACGTCAAGATTTTAAATTCTAAATATTAAACATGTTTGAAATAAATCGCTCACACTACAAGATAATCTTAACAGATAATCGGGTCCGAGCAGCCTTGAGTCGAAAGCGACCCTGAGATTGTCAGGAAGGAAGAGTCGGAGCTCAATTGGCCCGATTATCCTGCAGTGTGAGCCAGGCTTTAGTGAGGTTAGTTAGATGGAAGTAGAGCGGCCGACTGAGCTGCTGCATGAATCGTCATAAATGGGTCATGGAGAAGAGAAGGCACTGCTTATTATTCATGGATTCATTCAGAGCTGATTAGTCACCGTCCACGCTCCACGGACCACGACGAACCTCCAGGAACATGACCACGTTTATCTGTGACGTGTTGGCATATTTTCAGACAAAGTTACACTATTTATTGAGCATTCTAGGTCATTATGATGCGATGATATGTGACATGCCTTCATTTGGACTTTATGTTGGAGATTGAGAGAGAATTAAAGAAGCACCTTTTTTTATAAAGGTTTACACATCCCACCCACTGAAACTGGATCATCTGTATCTACATGCAAAGAAAACACTGAGCACGCAGTTCAGATTGAGAATCACAGCCTGAAACCAGCTGAAGCGTTTTCGATGATAAGATGTCACAGAATGACCTCCTCTGAAGCTCCAAACGTCTGCAAGCTAACAGGTTTATCCTCAGGTCCATCTCTGCAGAGATCCTTTATGTGATGATGTCACAGCCTTATAACCACGATCTCTAATCTTTGAAAAATGACAGCTGCGTTTCTCTCTGTTATTGGCGTTTAATTTCTCCGTCAGGAATCACAGCGTTAACATCAGAGTAAATATCAGAAGGTGTTAAATAGAATTTACATTAATATTTAACTTTTTTCCATCTCAGTTTGAAGATGTTTCTCACCACAGCAACGGCGTCTGAGGCCAGCAGCTCGTCTGCCGACATCACAGCGTAGTACGCCACGTTGGTCAGCACATAGCAGGAAGTTACTATCGCCATGGAGATACAGATAGCCAATGGCACTGTCCTGATGAGAGGAATGAAATAATGAGTGGAGCTGCTCTTTAAACTGTCACAGAGTAAATTCAGTTTATCATTATTTACAGTGTGTTTAGGGATGTTTTAGTAAATAATAGATGTAAAAATCGCTGAAAAAAAAGAATTTCTGTTTCAGGTTTTTAATTTAATTAAAATTATTTTTATTAGTTAAACAAACATCAAACTCACCGCTCAGGTCTCTCCACCTCCTCCGTTACAAAGTTTAAATAAAACCTGAAGAGACAAACAAAAGTTGATGTCTGATGATACATAGTGAGTGTGTGTGTGTGTGTGTGTGTGTGTGTGTGTGTGTGTGTGTGTGTGTGTGTGTGTGTGTGTGTGTGTGTGTGTGTGTGTGTGTGTGTGTGTGTGTGTGTGTGTGTGTGCGTGTGTGTGTGTGCCCATACCTACCACCCAGCATATGCAAACATCCCTGAGTAGAAGGCCAAAGGCATCCCGGACAGTTTCATATCGCTCAACTCAAAGGCATTCTCGAAGTTCCTGGTCTCCCCTAAACACACACGCACACACACACACACACACACACACACACACACACACACACACACACACACACACAGACAAACACATCTTTTTCAGTAAGTCTGAAGCTCTTTCGTCTCGTCTCATCTATCTAATCACATTGCATCTCTTTACGTCACATCTTATCAACAACCCAGCTGCATTTTCACATTGTTTCTAGGTCTTCCATGTGCTATGAGGACGTTGTTTCTAGGTCTTCCATGTGCTATGAGGACGTTGTTTCTGGGTCTTCCATGTGCTATGAGGACGTTGTTTCTAGGTCTTCCATGTGCTATGAGGACGTTGTTTCTGGGTCTTCCATGTGCTATGAGGACGTTGTTTCTAGGTCTTCCATGTGCTATGAGGACGTTCTGCGTGAAGTCACAGAAAGTTCCGCAACAGTACTGACTGAAAGAAGCTCTAAGAGGTTACCATGGCAATGCTGAAGATGTAGGTGACTCACCTTTGAACAGCTGGAACATTCCAGGCACTATGATGATGGCGATGGCCAGAAGCTTGCTGCAGGTGAGAAAGATCTGGATCCTGGCGGTCCACGTCACACTCATACTGTTCAGGTACATCACAGAAGCTGCAGGAAGAGAGAAAAGGACGTCAGCCTACTTTATTTACAGATGTTAAAGTCTATCATCCTGTCTTGTTTCATTCACTTCCTGTTGTTCTTAAAGTCATCTTTCTTCATCTAAAGTTCTCAGAATCATCTTACATCTGTCAAATCTTCTCTGTGAGTCAAACTAAAGGCATTTTGAAATCTGAGCACAGACTGTACAAAAGATTTACAACATGACAGCTCCCTAAACGAGAAGCTAAAATAGTTAGAGCTCCCCCTGCTGACTGGCTGCAGTATAGGTTATAAACCCCGCCTCCTCCATGTCAACGTTTGTTATGTTCATGTTTTCAAACTATGAAATCAAAATGTCAGATACATTTGATCTAAAAACCAGTTTCTTCATTGTAGCTTTTTCAAGTCATTTTCTGTTCGAGCCTTCGAGTTCATTTTAAATCATTGATTTGATGATAAAAAATAAATATAACTCAATGATTGACAGCTGCGTGTTGAACTTTCCATAAACAAGAGTGTGTGCTTAAAAATCAACCCAAGAATCTGTTCTGCTCTGGACTCAGGTGATCTGTTCTTAACTGGTCTGAACTTGATCTGGTGTGATCTGCAGTGATCTGGTCTGATGTGGTTTCAGGTGATCTAGTCTGATCTCAGGTGATCTGGTGTGATCCCAAGTGATCTGTGGTGACCTGCTCTATCCTCTTTGATCTCAGGTGAACTTTTTTTTGATCTAAGATGATCTGGAGTGATCTCAGGTGATCTGAGAGCAGCAGGTGTAAACAGAACAGAGGGTTTTGGACCTGCTGTTCTCATGTTGATCTTGAAACTCTGCAGCAGGTCTCTCAGGTTTCGATCATGTTGAGTTTCTGAGGAAGGAGGAGGTCTAAACCTGGACCTGTAAACTTGTTATTACAGATCATCTCAGTTTCTGAACAAAGAAACAAACCAGATTCCTCCTCAGACTGTCAGGACGGGAGAATCAGAAGAGAGAACAAACCTTCCTTTTTTTAATACAACTGCTAAAAACCACCTCAACTTGTTAAAGTGGAAACATAAACACGTCTGCATCACAGTTAGGCTAACAGTCGACCTCGTTCACCAAACTACCCGAACCATGAAGCTTACCATTTAAATGATCCAAAACATCCTATGTTCACTCCAAACGACCATACAGAGAGCGTTCTCTTAAAACACAGACGGCTGTCTCCTTCATCAGAGGAACGTCTAACAAACACAACAGCAGCAGCACTCAAGCACATCATGAGTCATGTGTCAGTTCTACCTGCAGACTGAAGACAACATGAAATATATTAATCTCATTTACTCTGAGAGACAAACACACTTAATAACTTATCTTTGTTTTACAGCACGACAAAAATGCTGCAGTAAAACCTTATTGGCAAAGTTACCTAACATCCGAGACGTGACAAAGTCAAAACACAATGAGCGAAACCTTCACTTTAAATATAACTGTAAACACTTCCTGTCATAAAGCTTAGGGGTCATTTTTTTTTCTTTTTTTTATAGTTTTATAAAGTTTTGAACATTGGAGAGTCATTTTAGAAGCTCAGTGTAAAGGAGACATGGAAGCTGTATTATTTCTGTATCCTGTGGTGTGAGTCAGTGAGCAGCTGTAAATAAATAAAGTCATTGACGATCCTGAGCTACAAGCTGATCCGATATGTTTGTGAATGATTATGAAGACTTGTGAAACCACAGTTAGGGCAGGATGTGCACACATGCCTCAGGTAACACTGACACATGTTGCATCATCCAACCAACGAAAACACTGAATCCACGCTAACCCTTTCCTTTCCCACAGACAGAGCCTGCTGAAAGTGGAGGATTACGCTTGAGGCAGAAATGTTGCTCCTACATTTCACTTCAGCTCGTAAAAACGTCTCTGCAGGCTTTATATGTGTCTGCACTTGTTGTAGTGTGTGTGTGTGTGTGTGTGTGTGTGTGTGTGTGTGTGTGTGTGTGTGTGTGTGTGTGTATTCACATGTGGTAGTGTGTATTTCTATCGTACTGAGTGCATTTTATTTTTCCTTTGTACTACCCCTCCTCCTCCTCTTCCTCCTCCTTCTCCTCCCACTCCTGCTCCTCCTCTTCCTCCTCTTCTTCCTCCCCCTCCTCCTCCTCCCCCTCCTGCTCCTCCTCTTCCTCCCCCTCCTCTTCCTCCTCCTCCTCCTCCTCTGTCTAAAACCTGTCATCATGTCAGTGTTTTTCTGTCATTTACAGACGAGGTTACTCCAGGTCAAACTGTCCTCTTGGATTAATTAAAGTCCAGCTTTACGTACTGATGCCGATGCCGGTGGCCAGTTTGACAGCAGTCGGAGGAATCCCACAGGGCATGAACAGTGGCTCCAGGATGTACTGACCAAACGCCAGAGAGATGACGGCCATCCCTGCGGGCCTGGAGGACACACACACACACACACATACACACACACACACACACCACACACACACACACACACACACACACACACACACACACACACACACACACACACACACAGATAAACACACACACACATGCGTCAGTGTTAGTGTGACTCAGGGCAGGTATGTAACTGCAGTAAATGTAGAGAGCTGATGTATAATAATAATAATAATGATACATAAAGCATCATGATGACTGAGGACCTGAACTCTGTACAGATTGGGGTTGTGATCAGTGCAATAACTACTGAGTGGAATCAACTGATGTTTTTTAATGGTTTTTTTTATTGTTCTGTGAAAATATGGATTTTCTCTATAATGGCATCTCTGTATCTGTTGTTATCTGTCATTTTGTGGCTGTATCACCTGTCATATGTCGCTGTTCATCATTCACCTGTGTTGAGGTTATGGCCCTCTGATTGGCCATTAAGCTCTAATTTAGGTCTCTTTTCAGGGTGAGTCCAGAGAGAGTCTCTGCAGCCTCAGAGTCTCTGCAGCCTCAGAGTCTCTGCAGCCTCAGAGTCTCTGCAGCCTCAGAGGCTCTGTCTCTTTATCCTCTCTCTGTGTTTTTGTCTCTCTTTGTTTCCCACAGCTTCAGTCAATCCCAGCAGCCCGAGGCCACATTCAGACTGGGCAGCTCAGGATAGACAGCGGACTGTTTTTACTACTCCGCCTCAGCTGTGTACACACACAAAGCGTTTTCTCACCTCTCCACTCGGACTAAACACAGACCCCCTCACAAGGTCACAGCAGGTTTGCACGCCTGATGTGGTGGCCTTTCACCAAACATAGAGTCAGTCATCTCTAATACCGATCATCTTCCATTGTTCTATTATATTGAACAAATGCAGCTCTCTCATTGTTTCAGACAAGCAGTCAGTTTTTATGATAAATGTGTGAAAATGTACCAAACTGATCCAGAATGCACTTCTTTTTCCACACTGTATGTTTGTCAAATCACACACCAATGACTACACCAACAACGATTAGTAGAGATAGTTCGAGCTGCAGAGTTGGAGATCTTTCAGACATTTTGACGCTCTTTGACATCACAGCTGCTTTGGATCCAAACCGAGTCCAGCCTTTGGTTTTCTTAATCGAGCTCATCACTTCTCCAGCTTCCTCAACAGAAGAGTGTTTGATACTCTTATGATCCTTCATGATGCTCCCACCACCACAGACTGAATGAGACTCCACTTGTCATGATCACTGACATATAGAAGTGGACGTACCCACTAGATTTAAGACTCTTGTTTTGAAACCAACAGATTTCTGTTTATTGGTAGATGGCCGTGAAAATTGAGCAGCTAACTTCTGGGAATGGCTCTTAAAGCTCATCTTACTGCCTTCACATGTGAAAATAAATATGAACATTTTAAACCATATCACCTTCATTACCAATATCCTTTATGTCTCCACCCAGCTATTTTGTTGTAGTTGTCTGTCCTGCTACTCGGGTGAGTGAACCAACTCACTCAATCTTTACTCCAAAAGATCAAACTTTTTACAAAGTATTCTTAGTCCTTGTGTTTTGTTGCTCTGGCTTGCACTGCTCCACTCTGGACGCCATGAAGACGTATGTAGAGCCTTTAGAGAAACCAAACACTGGACAATGCGTATCAAAGGTTACACACAGCTCACAGCTCCCACCAGTCACTCAAAAAGGCCACGCCCCCTAATTCTACATCACTTTAAGCACTTAATATAAAGTGAGTTGTATAAACATTTGGCCTGTACAGTTGAAGAGAGAAATTAGCTCTAAAAACTGTTTTTGTACCAGACTGTAAACATGTTTATTTTAACATGGAGCTCTATGGAGACTGACTCACTGCAGGAGATAGACTCTAGTGGACACTGGAGGAACTGCAGCTGTAAAGTTGGACATTTTAACATGGGGCTCTATGGGGACTGACTCACTGCAGGACACAGACTCTAGTGGACACTGGAGGAACTGCAGCTGTAAAGTTAGACATTTTAACATGGGGCTCTATGGGGACTTACTCACTGCAGGAGACAGACTCTAGTGGACACTACAGGAACTGCAGTTTAATCACTCTCGTCCTGAGTTGCAGATTTTCCTAATAAAGTCAGGTGACTCAGAACAACAGTCTTGTTCTCATGAAGTCGTGTTAGTTGCCACCAGTCCAAAAAAAAAGTCCAATATTTACTTTTTTTAAATCTTTGTTTTAGGTCTCCACTGACTCCTGAGGGTCATTTCTGAATGTCTGGCTGCTGAAAGATTCACTTTTTTGACTGTTGGTGAGGCTGTGGGTTTATCAGAGTGTTTCCCTGGCAGCTGCCTGCTGAACACAATGAACCCAAACAGAGGAGCTGTCTGTCTTTAAGACTAAACACTGAGCTGAAAAAGTTTGGTAGGGGGACTGCAGAGCTCTCTATAGAGTGATCACTTTAATGACATAATGATTTAATATACGAATGAATGCAGCCTTAAAGGTTGAAGTTTTTTTGTGCACACCTGAGTAGAGGATTCAGACGTTACCTGATGGCGACGAGATCCACCCACAGTCGAATGAAAGCCATCCGAGGGCCAAAAGCCTCCATGATGTACGTGTAGTGCCCACCTGACTTCTTGATGCAGGTCCCCAGCTCAGCATAGCACAGCGCTCCTGCAGAGACAGAGGTGACAGATCGTCTGAGGGATCATGTCTGTAAAAGTGTTTGAGCTACTGTCTATAAAGCTGTGTGTTCCTCTCTGGGCCCCTTCACAGCTCAGATATACCAGTGTGGGAGACTCTCAGCTCCGAGCCGTAACTGAAGGCAGGAAGATTTAGGTGGATGGACTTTAATTACAAGTTTAGGGAATACAACTTCAGGGCAAAGGGAAGGGGTTAAGGAAGGGAACTGGAGGATGATGTGCTTGGACTTTTCATTACATCGCAAATGCCGAGGGATTTAAGTATTCTGTAGCTGTCGATGCAACAATATACACATGTGCAGAGAAAGACCCGTTCTCTGGAGAAGCAGGACGTCTACGCTCAGTAAAAAGTGGAGTTTCTAAAAACACTGTCCTCATTATCACGATGTGGTGACAAACATCCTGCAGCCTGGCTCATGATCTCAGGGAACACTTGGTAAAGACGGGGTGACAGTCAAACAATCTAACTTCATATACGTTTCATATTTCTCATTCACAGACACAAAGTGTTTCCCAGCGTTACGATCCACTATGTTTCTGCAAAGAGATGCATCATAACCCAAACTCATCTTTGTATTATAGTTTTAGGTTTCTCATATGAACCTCAGTGTTTAATTAAAGAGCTCAGCCTGAAGTGTGAGTGTTGATTTGAATGTTTGCAGATACGGTACACCCAATCCACCTGTTATCATTTAGAGCACTATAACACTCAACAATGACAAAGACTGACAGGAAGTCCAGAGAGCCATCATTTCCACTTTGTGTGTTCTTCGATTTAATATTTAAAATCCATTTGTAGGGTTAAAGCACATATTTAATGAAGCTTCACGTCAATATCCTCACCTTCTTTTTAGGAATAATTAAATGATAACAAACAGTTTTTTTGTTTTTTTCTCTGAGACTCGATAAAACATCAACTCACCGAAGAGCGACAGAAGCCCGCAGGTGATCCACACCAGCAGGGACATTCCTATGCTGCCCGAGTGCTTCAGGATGCCTTTGGGAGAGATGAAGATGCCGGCTCCGATGATGGTGCCGATGATGATGGAGATCCCTCGGAGCAGGGTAACCTTCTTCCCCAGTCCCACCTTGTTCTGGTCCTGGTCCTGCAGAGACCCATTGTTGGAGACTTTGTGCGCACTGGATGCAGACCTTTTGGTCATTTCTTTAAACTCAGTCTGGGTCTTTTCAGTATGTGTTGTCCCTCTGCTCCGGCCTGGACTCACTCAGTCTGCTGTAAAGTCACTCAATGAGAGTTGGAGTAAATTCCAGGGAGGACAGAGCTCCTCACCCCCCCCCCTTCGCTCATTCATGCCCCCCTCTCTAATCCGTCCTGCCCTGAGGCCTGCTCTTCACCGCACAGACTTCACCAAACTTTAGTCCCTGCTCCTCTCTCTCTCCTCATGGTGTGTTTGGTTTCTGCTGTCCCTCCTTCCACGTCCCCGGCCTTTTATTTACTCGTGTGAAAGCAGCTGTGACTCATGTGGGAGAGGAGTGGTGCTGCTCCGTGCACACTAATCATGACACAGCAAAGAAGGGCTCATATCTGTTGTTACCTCTCACTCTGCTGCTGCTGCTGCTGCTGCTCTTTGTCTCTATACCTACTTCACATCAGGATCCAGCTCCAGACTAACTCTGTCCCAGGACAGACTTTATGAGCTGTAATGGTTCAAGGAACAGAAACCTGGAAAGTTTTGGAAAATCCACCACACATGAACAAAATATCCTTTCATTTAGAGACATTAAAAAGACAGAGAATATGAGAGTGATAACTATGAGACAAACAAACCACATGTTTGTGAAACTCTCAACGTTTTTAGAATCAAAGGTCTGGAACTGTACAGTGAAAAGGTTGTTCTGTTTGACCAGTTTAAAGCAGCTGTGAGGAAACATCAGTTTGTGTGGATTTTTACCCCCCCTGTGGACAAAGTCTGTAGTCCTTAAAGCTCAGGTAATCTGGTTGGTGGATCCAATCCAGGTTTTCTTTCATAAACTGGGATAAACGTGATCTGGATTACCTGATCCTGGGTCGAACAGGAAACCTTATAACCTGGTCTTTATTAATCCAGGTCCATGTAGATTCAGCCTCAGTCTTTGAGCACTTACAGAGCATGTCTGTACTCATTCAGTAAGGATTATTCTTTTAAAAACAGTTAATTAAAAAACATCCCGTCGTTGTCTTTATCAACAACAGTTTGTTTGTTGCTCAGAGAAGAGACACCATGAAACTTTGCACACTGCAGGATGGATCACACCACACATACTTCAACATCATCACCACTGTGTAGAAATGGAACAGGTAGAAACAATACGTGACACATTGAAGTTCTCCAGCAGCAGTTTGATTCTGGGAAGGAGGAATGTTCTCAAAAACAACAGAAGAAAAGGAAGGAGCAGACGATGACTGTGCAGCCTGTGTTAGGTGAATTTACCTGCAGCTGAACACGACAATGACCAGAGAGCATCAGATGTAACAACAGGTCATCTTCATGGACTCTTTCTCAGAGAAGATAAGTTCTCGCCTAACAAGTAACAGAGTTGGGGTTTTATTGTTGGTAAGGTTTTATTCTTAATTGAGTTTGGCCTTTATTGTTGGTAGAGTTTTATTCTTAATAGAGTTTGGGTTAGTTGAGTTTTATTCCTGATAAGAGTTTGAGTTTTAGCATAATGCTTTCTGCTGGAGGACAATCACACATGTCTAGCTCAGACACGTTCCTCTTCTCCTGACAGTAAACTGCTGCAGAGGTGTAACATGTAAAAACAGGAAGTAGACTTTACCAACCCACGTCAGACACTGGATGTGACTCATCCATGTGTGTGTAACCCTGAAGTTTCCATGCCTCCCTCACAGTGTTACAGACTGAGTTCATTACACAACAGAGGGCTCAGATCTCTGCAGGAGAAAGATGAAACACTGGGCAGACTTACAGTGAAGCTATACGTGATAAACACTGAGACTGCCGTATTCGTTGTTTGTCTCCATAATAGGCTGTAACGTCTGCAGCAGGTAAACAGACTGTAACGTCTGCAGCAGGTAAACAGGCTGTAACGTCTGCAGCGGGTAAACAGACTGTAACGTCTGCAGCGGGTAAACAGACTGTAACGTCTGCAGCGGGTAAACAGACTGTAACGTCTGCAGCGGGTAAACAGACTGTAACGTCTGCAGCGGGTAAACAGGCTGTAACGTCTGCAGCGGGTAAACAGACTGTAACATCTGCAGCAGGTAGATGTTACAGCCTGTATATATATACCCTACTGATATTTGTAGTTAGGAAGGGATCTCAAACTACAGTTTATCAGTTTACTATTTCAAAGTGTTCTGAGTTAAAAAGTGTAAGGATGAGGCCCAGGTGAGGCCTCATTGTCGGGTTTACAAAGTGCTCACACATCACTAAATCAACACGGTGACTTTGTGAAAGCACAGCGGGAGCAAGATGTTCTGTTTCCCCATCAAAAACTCAAGAATGCTAATCTGAAGGTTGGACTATTCTCTGCCAGACTCCCGACAAGCACAAGTGTTTTACTAACTGTGTAGGTGTGTGTGTGTGTGTGTGTGTGTGTGTGGGCCTGCGTGTGTGTTTGAATGTCATTGGCTCAGCTCTTCACAGTAGCTGTCAAATGAGAGCCGCCGCCGGTGACAAACTGCAGAAAGAGAGGGAGAGAGGAAAAAAGGCTGAGATAAAGGGGATTTTCTGTCTTTTGTTCTAATTGTGTGGGATGAAAAATCTCTTTGCAGATTTGATACGCTCTCCCTCCAGCTAAACACTCTTGTCAGGACAAGAGTTTAAAGGCAGGAGAGAGGAACAAAAGGGAGAAAAAGGAGAGGCAGTAACACAGAAAGACTCAGATCTCTCCTCGCTCTGAACGAGCCGAGGACACCTCTTGCTGAGTCTTTGTGTTCGTCTTTGTATCATACCTTCACCCTCCACTCACAAGGCCGTCCCTGCAGCCACCGTGAGATTTTGAACACAGGGCTGGACCACATGCATGCACTGACTCACTGTGGGTTTCATCACTGTGGCAACAGTTGCACAACTTTTGTAAATTCAGAACAATTATTGTGAAAAATCATTCAACAGTTTGCAACGTTTTTTTTTTAATGTAAAAGAATCGACCATATTTGGAGAAGAATGTAAATCCCGCCCCTGTTTGATGGTGTCTTTGACTCTAAATGGACTAAATAACTTTAGTGCCATTTTTATTTACAACCAGAATTGACCATATATGGCCATAATTTTCTCACTTCAAAAATAATCAGTCATCTCCTCAGAGCTTATATACAATCGAACTCACGGCACGACATTGAGAGTTTCTAATGGTAGGGACCTGTCAATTAGAGGTAGCCCCGCCCCTAACTCCTCCCCTGTTTGCTGGTGTCTTTGACTCTAAATGGACCAAATTTCACTAAATGAACATCATGCTGTGTTGAAGAAGATGTACAACTACATACTTGTCTGACTGACTGTTTGCATAGCATTCATTCATGCAGAGATCTGCTGTCAGAAGGAGAGCGGAGTTGTTCAAACACTGAGCTTAATGTTTGTTGTCTCTACACATTTTCTCCCAGAGTTTCACGTGACAAGACCATGAAAACTTTTATACTCTGCTGTGATCGTTCTCATGATGACACGCGTGACATGGCGGACTAAACACGTCAACTATCTATGCTGCAGGTCTTATTTCACATAAATTATTTTAAATGTGTCATTAATTCAAGTTTCTGGGAGGATTTAAAAACATCAACTGAATAAGGAGACCTACATCAACGTTATAGTCATCGTCAAGACAACCAAAACACAACAAATCTAATTCTCGTTATAAACTGTGTTCATGGTTTTATAAACTGTTCATGGTTTTATAAACTGTGTTCATAGTTTTATAAATGGTGTTCATGGTTTTATAAACTTTTCATGGTTTTATAAACCGTGTTCATGGTTTTATAAACTGTGTTTGTGGTTTTATAAACTGTGTACATGGTTTTATAAAATGTTCATGGTTTAATAAACTGTTCATGGTTTAATAAACTGTTCATGGTTTTATAAACTGTTCATGGTTTTATAAACTGTGTTCATGGTTTTAAAAACTGTTCATGGTTTAATAAACTGTTCATGGTTTTATAAACTGTGTTCATGGTTTTATAAACTCTTCATGGTTTTAAAAACTGTTCATGGTTTTATAAACTGTTCATGGTTTTATAAACTGTGTTCATGGTTTTATAAACTCTTCATGGTTTTATAAACTGTGTTCATGGTTTTATAAACTCTTTATGGTTTTATAATCTGTGTTCATGGTTTTATAAACTCTTCATGGTTTTATAAACTGTGTTCATGGTTTTATAAACTTTGTTCATGGTTTTATAAACTGTGGTCATGGTTTTTTAAACTGTGGTCATGGTTTTTTAAACTGTGTTCATGGTTTTATTAACTCTTTATGGTTTTATAAACTGTGTTCATGGTTTTATAAACTCTTCATGGTTTTATAAACTGTGTTCATGGTTTTATAAACTGTTCATGGTTTTACAAACTGTTCATGTTTTTATAAACTGTTCATGGTTTTATAAACTGTTTTCATGGTTTTATAAACTCTTCATGGTTTTATAAACTGTGTTCATGGTTTTATAAACTTTTCATGGTTTTACAAACTGTGTTCATGGTTTTATAAACTGTGTTTATGGTTTTATAAACTGTGTTCATGGTTTTACAAACTCTTCATGGTTTTATAAACTTTGTTCATGGTTTTATAAACTGTTCATGGTTTTATAAACTGTGTTCATGGTTTTATAAACTGTGTTCATGGTTTTATAAACTCTTCATGGTTTTATAAACTGTGTTCATGGTTTTAAAAACTCTTCATGGCTTTATAAACTGTGTTCATGGTTTATAAACTGGTCATGGTTTAATATACTGTTCATAGTTTTATAAACTGTTCATGGTTTTAAAAACTCTTCATGGCTTTATAAACTGTGTTCATGGTTTATAAACTGGTCATGGTTTAATATACTGTTCATAGTTTTATAAACTGTTCATGGTTTTAAAAACTGTTCATGGTTTTATAAACTGTGTTTATGTTTTTTTTAAATCGTTCATGGTTTTCTAAACTGTGTTCATGGTTTTCTAAACTGTGTTCATGGTTTTCTAAACAGTTCATGGTTTAATAAACTGTTTATGGTTTTATAAACTGTTCATGTTTTAATAAAGTGTGTTCATGGTTTTCTAAACTCTTCATGGTTTTATAAACTGTGTTCATGGTTTTCTACACTCTTCATGGTTTTCTAAACTGTG